GTCAGCTTTAATTTTTAAAAAATTTGAAGAGTTGTATAAGAGCACCTTTGAACATGTTAAAAATTTGATTTCCTTAATTTCTAGCTTTAAGAATATTTAATTTATGTGAGTATTTATTTTTCCCTAAACCAATCAGTATTGAGGACTTTTACAAGGATTTGATGTCTAATTTGGTAACATTTTAGAGGTAGGAAAATACTACGTATATACATGTATGCATGTGTATATATAAAAATATAAACATAAAGCAGATACAAATAAGACACATGACTTCTAGTTTTAAAGTTTCTATTCAATGAAATGAGCTTTATTACAGAAGAACCAGCTCTCATTCTTTCCCCACCTTTATATTATCACTAAGATTGTGTTCCTGGCAGTAGCCAGTTGCTCAAGGTGAAGTTTAGGTATTTCCACAAATCTTCATGGAGGAGACCCTAAGATTTCCTTTCCTCCGATGAATAATCTGTGACTGTGGACTGAATTTTGACAAGGGATTGAGGGGGAATCAAGCGACCCCTGTATGTCTCCAGAGCCCCTGAATGGATAATATATCCAGCCTGTCTCTAATTACTTTTTTCAGCCTTAGGTAGTTGCTGGGGTCCATGAGCCCCTCAAAAGCCAGGAGTAGGGGAGAATGTATTATTTTAAGGTTTGAAATTCCTGTGCTGAATTGATAGCTTTGATCTTCATGGGGCCCCAAGTGTCCCCAGTACTTATCTGTCTAGGATTCAGTGTCATGGATTTGGCTATCTGTACTTTTTTCACCGTTGGGGTAGGAGGTATGGTTGAGAGTAGGTGATTGGAACTTGGAATGGGGTGAGCAGGGGCCAGCTCTTGAGTGACCTGAAGTTTCGTGGCTGCAGGGCATCAGGAAGGGCCTGGCAGGATAGATAACGTCATGGAGGAAGTGGGGTGAAGCAATACAGATGGGAAATTAAAGACAGATGAAGAGAAGGTAGAAGGTGGCAAAGAGAAAGAGAAAGCAAATGAAGAGAGAGCTCATTCTGAGCCAGTGTGGAGAGATCCCAGTCTCCAAGAGGATGCCTTTGAAATGGCCATTCATAAACTTATGCCATTTCTTTGTGTATATTTGTAAATTTTTTTTTGAGACAGGCTCTCCTTGTTGCCCAGGCCGTCCTTGAATTCATGGACTTCCCCTCTCTACCTCCTGAGTAGTTAGGGTTATAGGCATGTGCCACTCTATTTGGCTACTTTCTACCACATTTGAAGCTATTCAATTGAATTAGGATAAAGGGAAAGAAAGTTCCTGAAAGATTTACCCCTTGGATCAACAGGAAAAAAAATTGAAGAGGAGCTGTGAAAAGTAGCGCTTAATTAATTCCTTTGCTTTGCAAAATTCCTGGGGAGCTAAGTAACAAACAAAAAATCAAAACACAACAATGACAACAACAAACTCACAGAAGATCAAAGAAAGAATCTCTCTGCCCAAACAAGCAAGTTCACACCTTCCCATACTTTATCATCCAGAGCACTGGTCCAAGAACTGAGCCCCAAGAAGGATGCTTCAGTTGCTGACCACAGTGCATCACCTGAGTGGGGCTGGGGGCTGTCCATGGGCAGCTTTGGCAGTGGTGGTGGGAGGGTCCCATCTTGAGCTGCATCATAGCACATAACAACTCAAATCAAAGCAGACCCATTCTCAGGTAAGGAAAGACTTTACTCGACAGGATTTCTGCAATAAGCCAAACAAAGTGAGTTCTAACAGGGAAAAGGCTCTATTGTATGACTCTTTGGGGAGAGGCAGAGGGAGGTAAATAAAGTTATGAAGAATAAGTACCAGGAAGTGGGACATACAGGTGGCATGACCGGACAAATGATAAGGTCAGGTTTTACTTGTGGTCAGCTGGGAAGGACTTCTTGGAAAGAGAGCAGCATCTCAATTTTCCTTTAGGTTGCCAAAGGCTTTGGAGGAGAGAAAGCTGACCAAAGGTTGGTCAAGGAAAACTTTGGCAAGATGGGTCACTGGGGACCAAGGAGTTAGGTCATCATTTAGAAGCAGAGAATGAAAAGCAAGAGGCTGTTTATGGCCTTGTCACTTGTAACCAAGGAAGTTAGTTATCCGTAGGTCTTATCTAAGTTATGTCAGGAAATGTGGTTCTATGTAGTTAGTGGTTTCCCAGATAAAGAAATGGGCAAGGGACCTCTTTAATCTTCAATGTTTTCCAGCTTGACAAAGGTGGGGTCAAGTTGAACATTGCCCCTTATTTGAGTGCACTTGTAAGTACAGTTCTACTCTGATTACAAAATGTTAATCATAATATAAATGTGTCCTTGTGATAATAACCATCTATCAAGCCCCCCCTCTGTCATTAATTCTAGAAAGTTGGTGTTCGTAATCACCAGTTTGCTTTTGGTGCAGTTATTGTGATTGCTAGCAAGGCTTGTCTTTCCATTTTCTGCTGCGCAACCTGGAGCTGGGACTCAGCAAACCATGTTTCCTGTAAGGCTTTGGCAACAGAGAGGCACTGGAGGAGGGCAGAAGACTGTAGGCAGGGCAGGGATCACTCCTTCACACTTGCTTGGCCATCCTGCAGCATTACCCAGCAAATGTCTCTTCTGGCTGCTCCAGTTTCTAGGATTTAGTACATCCTAAATTTTTACTTTTAGAAACAATTGCACCAGCCAGGGAACTCTCTCCTCAGGGTCTCCCTAAAAGTCTGTCTTTCAGTTCTGGAGCTACACAGTGCTTCCTTCTCCCAGCTCAGTGGTAGCTGCTTCTCTGGCTGCCTTTCCAATCCTCCATTACCTGTTTTAGCAATTCCTTAATTTCTTGGGTTTTTTTTTTTTTTTTTTTTTTTTTTTTTTTTTTTTTTTTTTTTTTTTTTGTATTTTAGGGAAGGGTCTACAGGGTGTTCAGGGTCTCACTACTAGATCAGACTTGAAGTGATCCGCCTGTTTACAGCCTCCCAAGTGCTGGGATTACAGGTGCACACCACTTTCATGCCCGGTCTCAATTGTCATCTCAGCATGCCTCAGGGATGGAGGCCCGGTGCATGCAGGCCTGGGGATTGAACCCTTGGCCCCTGGGCCTGCTTGCGGGCACTTTAATCTGCTGAGCTATTTGGCTGGCCTGATTCTTTAAATTCTCTGTAAAAATAATTACGGCAGTGTGTGTTTTCTCACTGAGCCCTGACTTACAGAACTCTAAATCACTCAGAAAGATCTTCTAAGCTATATGTATGGAATTACGATATATATTATTGCCATACATTAAAAATAGATTACTTTTATGGCATGCACGTGGTATCCAAGGGACAGGACACATTGTAAAAGGGAACCTTTAAAACTCTGTTGCTTGGATTTGCAATTGTTTTTCTGACCAAAATATTATACATTTGAGTTAGATAGGTACACTCATGTTCATAATTTGAGTTGAAAAAGTATAATAGGGTACAAATTGTGTTAAGCAGTAGTATTACCCCTGCTTTTGCCACATATATTTAAAGTTCTAGCTATTAACACCAGTAATAAATTTCAACTACCTTTTCTGAAAGTGAAAGGTGTGCTGTTAGGGACTGGGAGTGTGGTAGAGTAGAGCATTTGCCTAGCAAATGGCCTGGCTCCTCCTGCCCCAACAACAGTAACAGCAGCAATAAAAAGCATGTCCGTGTAAGCATTTTACAAGTTGATTTGAAGCATGTTTGATGTAAGCCCAGGAAGAAAAAACTAGCCAAGTGAAAATAGAGGAAACATGGCTTGTACTAGAGAAAAACAACAGGCTAATACTAAGATTTATCAACTTAATTTCATAAGGCATTGTGAGGATTTCATAGCCTACTTGCCTTTACCTAGTTTTACTCAGGGAAAGTAAAAACGTTATTTTGTGGTATTATTAAGGTTATTATGATGAAATACAAATTCATCATATTTTGCAGAAGATGTTTTAAGTTCATAGTTTTGTTTCCATGACAAAAATAAAAACCATAGATTAAAAAGTGCTTGCCTAGTCCCCTTGTTCTAGAACTTGCACACAACACACTGTAAGAAAATTCTTACATAGAATTAAGGCAAGAAGTTCAATATTACCACTAACATTAACCCCTCAGCTATCGTTCCTGCTGGTGGCCTGGGTCGCATTGCTTTACGCAGGGAGGTTCTGGCTTGGGGTGAAGGGGCAAGGTGGGAACGCAAGTCCTTGCAAGGGGTGGCTCAATAAACAGAACCCCGGGGTTAACGAAGATCGGCGTGGTATAGCTAGTTTACACGTCCGTTAGGGGGCACTGCTGGCCTCTGCCTAGGAGTCCTCCTATACTCCCCCACTACGCAGCCACCTAGAGTTTGCAAATGCTAAGTTTAGTAAGAAAGGTTCCTTTGGGACACAACATAGCCGACGTGGCCACTTTTAAGCTTTACTTGACGCCTAGACAGCGTCAGAAGCCGGGCGCGGTAGTACACTCTTGTAATCCTCGGGACTGAGAAGAGCAAGGCCGTCAAGTACAAGTTCGAGGCCAGCCAGGCCACAAATTTAGTGCCACCCTGCCTTAAAAAAAAAGAAAAAGAAGACAAAAAGACTGACGATATAGCCCCATGGAAAAGCGGCGCTGGGTTCCATCCCCAGTACTGCGGGTGGGCGTGGGGAGCGTTTCTCCCTGGTTATAAAACGTATTTCCATTTTAAAAATCAGACTAGTAGCACTTCTCTCGCTATTTGCCTGCGAGGAAGGAAGCACAATATTCTTAGAAAACCCCGCTCGAGCTCATATTCCTGACGAAATTCGCAGACCAAGCACCCAAGGCGCAAAGAGGAAGAGAGTGGAAGCGGCGGCTGGGTACTCTGCGGGCGGAGTCGGAGGCGCCACGCCCCTTGCTCTGCGCCCAAGCAGGTGGGCCTGGTGGGCGGGGCCTCGGGGGCAGGTGGGCGGGCTCGGAGGCGGGGCTATTGGGCGGGGCCGGCCGCGAGGTGCAGGCGCTGCAGCGCGACTCTAGCCCACAGAGCGAGCTTGAAGCCCAGCGCGCAAGGCCGGAGCTGCCCTGCATCCCAGGCGCGCCTGCTCAGGTAAGCGGCCGGCGCCGTCCCGCGGCGGGAGGCGGGAAAGGATGGAGCGTGAGCGGGCTCCGGCCGAGCGCCGTGCTCCGGGCGGTGGAGGCTTCTCCCGGGGCGAGGAGCAGCCCGGGCCACGCGTGCAGTGGCATCCTTCGCGACAATCCCTCCGTGGGTGCCGTGCGCGCCGGGCTGGGACGCGGTGCCTGCGCCATCTAGAAGCCGCTTGCGGGCTCTGGACCGACCCGCGGAGGGAGCTTGGCGACCCCGGGGCGCGGCGGGCGTGGGAAGCAGAGAGCAAGCAGGTAGTCGTGGACGTTTTGGGGTACCAGAGACTTTCTTTAACTTCGTTCCGTCCTAAACCAGGCCGGGAAGGGGCGTCGTTACCCCCGGGTCACTGCCACGCCGCCTGCGCCTTGGCCCCCCGAGATGCCAGCCTGGCCAGAGCCAGGTCCGGGGAGCCGGCGCTGCAGGGTCCGTCCCCGAGACAGGGGCTCTCCTTCTCGCAAGAATTTCACTCCCCTGCCAGGTTTCTGTCTGTTTTGTTTGTTTTAGTATCTGCCCCGAGTCAGCAGCACCCCTCTGGGGGTGACTGGCTTTCCTCGCGGCCCCTCTCCATGAGAAGCGAAAGGCGGTCGCTGCTCGCGCCCTCCCGCGCTCTCGCCGAGGTCGCGGTGCTGGTGAGGTCCGAGGCGCGGGCGCCCTTTGGCCCGCGCGGCGGTGTCTACGCGGGATCTGCCTCGCTCGCTGCTTTCTACAGAGAATGCGGGAGTCTTTATGCAAATAATGGGACTAGGTACAAATTGAAGGAGGTGCGATGATGTTTAAAGGAAACTGATGCACAAGATGACAAGGTGAGCACAGCTTTCTGCGGCCAGAAGTTGGTGGCGGAGACATAGGGGCGGCCGCTGAGATTTCCCTCTGGCATCCCCCTCCCCCATTTAGAACTCTTCTGAAAGAAAGGTTTGTTTTTATAAAAGGATTAATGGTTTTTAAAGATCAGTGTAAATTACCTCCTTGGAGCTTAGGCAGCTACAGACAGGCCTTCTCTGCTGGGAGATTTGGTAACAGATTTTAGCTCTGGCAAGGAGGAAAACTCAGAGTGTATGGCTGGCTGACTGGCTTTCTTTTTCCTTCTCTCCCCTTCCTTCCTTCCTTCCTTCCTTCCTTCCTTCCTTCCTTCCTTCCTACCTTCTTTCCTTCCTTCCTTCCAAATAGTACTTTTGGGAAATCTTGCTTTCCTAGAAATGGCCAACTCCCCAATTTTTAACTGCAGTACACCATGCCATGAACTTTAAAAAAGTGCTTCGCTAGTAGATAAAGCAAACGGAGGATGATTCCCCGTGTCTTGTGGGTGAGGCTGTGAGGGTCGCCTGCTTCTTCAATCTGAGGGCTTTAACCTCTGCTTCAAATCTGTGTAGGCTTCTGACCTTCGTCATTATAGTTCGTCTGTGACTATTTACCTGTATAACACAATTCCCATGCAAGTTGCTATTCTTTTCTACTCTTTCATTTGTAAGCTAGTTGCTTAATTAGAAAAACATGTCCAAGGGCACTTGCGATGTACCTCGTGGTACAGCATTTGCTTAGAGTGTTTAAGGCTCTAGGTTAGATCACCACTACCAAAACCAAAACAACAAAAATCTTTCTTGAAACTGGGATCATAAAATCTCCCACCTGCAGGGACAGGACAGGTAATATGCAAGATAGGTGACCTATAAATCTGGGAGGGCTTGGGCACATCCATCTTGTAATTCTGCAGGAATTCCAGCCCACTGTAGCCAAATCCTCTTTTAGTTTCTCCCCCCCCAAAAAAAATAGCCAAAAATCTTTACTTTTTATAATATACAACATAAGTTAAAATACTCACATTTTTTTTCCTTCTTTTTTTGGTACCAGGAATCATACTCAGGACTTCACCCTTGCTGGACAGGCGTGTGCCCTGGCTCCCTTTTTTCCTTCTTTAAAACAAAGAATCAAATTTGATTCATGTATCATCCATGTGCTGCTCTCTGCCTTATAAACTGTATATAATTATACAGTTTTCAAGTGAATGGAAAATTCTGAGCTACGATGTAGATGTTGTACATTTTTCATGAAATGATGTAGGAGACAAATTAGACCTGTTGGAAATGGCCTCTTTTGACTGTCAAATGCTGCTTTCTATGAAGTGTATAGCTATTATAGCTATCGTGAGTAATGTAGTCTATGGGAACAATTGAGGACTCCTATCATTATTTGAATATTCACTGTAATGAGAAATGTACTCATGGTTCTTGGTCAAAATGGCAAATACCTAACTATATTAAAAAGGAAGTTCCTAGCTGAACATGGTGGCCCATGCCTGTAATCAGCACTCTGAGAGGCTGAAGCAAGAGGATTCCAAATTTGAATACAGACTGGGCAATGTAGTGATTCAGTCTCCCTTAGTTTGAGACTAATTTAGTGACTTAGCCTTAAACCCTGTCTCAAAAATAAAAATCATAGGGGGTTCGATCCCCAGCCAGCTGTGCTGGCCCTGACCCTCAGGGCACACTGAGGCAGTCATTGAGACTCGGCATGGTGGCATGTGCCTGAAATCCCAGCACTTGTGAGGCTGAAAAGCAGGAAGGATCACTACGAATCCAATCTGTGTAGTGAAACCCTGTAGACCCTATACTAACTAAATACATAATAAATAAATAAGTAAATGGATTCTTTAAAAATAAAATAAAAATAATTTTTTAAAAAAGGGCTGAGGACATAGCTCAGGGTAAAGGCCCTGGGATCAGTCCCTAGTACCACCAAACAAAGGTACGGGGAGTTCACAAAGGCTGTTCAGATAAGCCAGGCATGTGTCTTGGCCCTGACACTGGCAGTGTGTCTGAGGGTTGGCCTGTTTCCTTGCTGTAGGTGGTTTGTTTGTTTTTTTTTGTATTTTGTACAGGGTCTCACAATGAAGCTTGAACTCATAGTGCTTCTCCTGTTTCCAGCCTCCCCAGCACTGGGATTACAGGCATGTGCCACCATGCCTGGACTCGGTTGCCAGCTTAGCGTGCCCGGGGACAGAACAGACGGGGCATGTGGTGCCAGGGGTTGAACCCCAGGCCCTGCGCTTGCCTAAACAGGCACTTAGTCAGCTGAGCTACCTCAATGGCCCTGTTACCACATTGTTTTAGAGTAGTGTTTCTCAGCCTTGGCACTTTGGACGTGTTGGGCCAGACGTGATTTTGGGGTTAGGGAATTGTCCTGTAGAACAGGATATGTAGCAGCATACCCAGCCTGCACCCCAAGGTGCCGATCCCATGCTCCCTCCAGTTACTTCAACCCCAGATGTCACCAGACATTGCTACGGGTTTCTTAGGGAACTATGTCACCCCTGGTTGAGGAAAAAGAATAAGTCAGATGCTTGTGAGCTCAACTACAGACTAAATTCAGGGAATGTGAGACTTTCAGTGATGAGAAAACTAATTGTAAATTCTTATTGTATATGCTCAAGATGTTCAACTTGTGTTTTTGATGTACACGTACAGAATGATTTGTTTCTTTTTGCGGTACCAGGGATCAAACTCAAGACCTTGAGCATGCCAGTCAGGTGCTTATGCCACTGAGCTGTCCCACCAGCCCTTCAAATTTAAATATCTGACACTTAAAAACATTTTTATCATAAAGATGACCAACCCAGTGTTCTCTGTAAACAGCTTACATGTCCTGCCAAGTTTTAACTTTGGAGAAATTTCAAACATCCAATGTACTTGTTAAATTGCATAGGATTTTAAATGTTGAAAACTAAGGAGGAATTTTATACTACTTTTCATTTTTCGTTTTAAAATATAGTCGATGTCTTCCTTTTTTTTTTTTTTTTTCCTAAGGTGATGACATACTGGTTGACCACGCTTGTTGACTTAGAAAAACTGACACAATCTGTAATGTTAGAACCCTGAACAAAACTAAAGTTGTGCTATTGAGATTTGGTGTGCATGTATCATGCTTGGAGGAAGATTCAGCTGTACAAAAACTGAATTTTGGGACTGAGAAGATAGCTCAGTAGAGTAAGGGCAAGGGCCTGAGTTCAATCCCCGGTTCAAAAAAAAAAAAAAAAAAACCCTGAATTTTGCTAACAGTAACGTTTTGTAAGTGGCTTTTGTTTTGCCTTTTTTGAGACAAGGTTTCACTATGCAGTTTAGGCTGGCCTTGAACTCACGGTGTAGTCCAGGTGGGCCTTAAAGCCACAGTGATCCTTCTGCCTCAACCTCCCAAGTGCTGGGATTATAGTGCATCACCATGTCTGGCCTAACGGCAAAGTTTTGCTAACAGCAAAAACTAAGACTGCACTGAATTTCAGTAGTATGAGAAATTCCATTGTAATGCATAGGAGCTCCATATGATATATGATGTAATTCCTACAAAAGCAAAAAAATACAGGGCTGGTCAGATAGCTCAGCAGATTAAAGTGACTGCTTAGGCAGACACAGGGAACAGGGTTTGATTCCCAGTGTGTTGTGCTGGCCCCGCCCCTGGGGCATGCTGAGATGGAGATTGAGACTGGGTGTGGTGGCACACACCTGTAATCCCAGTGCTTGGGAGGCTGAAACAGGAGGATCACTACAAGTCCAATCTGTGTAGTGAGACCTTATAGACCTTGCACTAAAGTACATTAAAAAAAAAAAAAAAAAAAAAAAAAAAAAAAAA